AGAAAAGAAAAAAAAGAGAGAAAGGAAAAAAAAAATTGCAAGAAAAGAGAAAAAAATATGATAGTTCAAATAATGTAGAAAAACACACACCTCCAATTCTTATTGATTTATGCTAGTGGAAATATAGAAGTGCTTAATTGAAAAGAGGGTTATGTTGCATATTGTTTGGGGCAAGTGAATTGGTTGAGAAGAATATGTGCTTGAATTGTGAATGTAGTATATTAGAGTGCTTAGGAGGGTTAGTCACTATTTCTAAATATATCATACCCGTTATTTAGCCTATATTACAACCTTAAAGTCCTAATCGATCCTAGATTTGGCTAGCTTAAATTAGTAGAGATATACACTACAAACAAGCTTATGGTACGATCACGGGATGCATGTGAACTCTTTGTGAGAGTGAGCGAATTTTGTTCGATTGTGTGATGTCCTTAATCTATATTCAAAAGCATATTTGAATGTGTGGACTAATCTATATTCATTCTTTTGTTTGTTGGTGAGAGCACATGATCTCGTGAATGATTGATAATGTTGTAAACTTTCTTGTTGGGTGAGTGTATGAGTTGAGGGTGCTTAGTGGTTACAAGTCGGCTTTTGAGGTTGGGTGGTGACAAATAGGTTGCTGGAATTGATTGAATTGAAATATTATACTTAGGCATGCTTAAACGGGAAGAATGTGAAATTTTGTATGTTCATGCTCGTGTGCCGGTATTGATCATAGTCAAGGGTATAGTGTGTGGTTAAAAGTTAAAGTGCTCCTCTATAATTGAGACTTGTACGTAGTTGGGGGTTTATTTGATAGTCCCATTGCTCGAGGACGAGCAAGAGTCTAAGTGTGGGGTGTTGATGTTTGCTTAAAGTATATATATTTGTATGTATATCGCCTCATATCTTACTTTTGTTTCGTGGATTTAGGATGTGAAATGTGTTGATTTATGTTAATTTGATGTGTTTTTATGTGTAGGAATGATCCGGGAGTAATCGGGAGCGGAATGTGCAAAATTAGAGCCAAAACGGACAAAAACAGGAAAGTTGGACATTTCGGTACTACAGGTGGCGCCCAGCCCTACCTGTGGCGCCAAAAACAGTAACCAAAAAAGGGGTAGCGCCGTGGAGGGTGCCTGGCACTAACTAGGGCGCCAATGACGTGAAAGTTGTCCAAATTCACCCAGGACACGGTTATTTTGGCCCTAGACCTACCCAACACATATAAAAGCAAGACTAAACTTATTTGTCAAGGGGAGACGCCACTTTGGAGAGATCTAACATACATTGAAGGAGAATTCACGTGGAAGGAACACACACCACGCTTGAAGGAGGCTTATAACTAATTTTTCTTCTCTTCTCTTCCTTTAATCTCATAGTTTATTAGTTCTAGAGTTTTTGGGTGCTACATGAACATTGTAGTTTGAAGCTTGAATTGTTCTTGTTATTTTATCATATTGGTTTATTTATTCAATCGTGCACTTAATTATTTGATTGCTTGATCACCAATTGAATACTATCTACGAAACTAGGATTGAACTCAGAAGAGGGAATTCTAGATTGCATATAAGATTGAGTAGAGCAAGATCTTAACTCTTGGGGGGGCGGATTTGCGGTTACGATAGGAATATACCTAATCGCCTTGCTTGGTTACTATATAGGAATTATTAATGCGTTCTTGTTAATT